CCCCCTCCCCCCCCTTTAGCTCAAGGTCTGGATCCGCCACTGGTGTATGAATTGGCCATGGCACTCTTAGGGAGTTTAATGGCTTCTGTATTACAAGTTAATAATGCACAATGATTATTTCAGTCCAAATTCAGGAAACAAGGAGGAAAGGATGAAACTGCGGAAACTTACTTCTTGGCAGGACGGTCAATGATGTGGTGGGCAGTAAGTTGATTGTTTTTGGCATTGATGAACTGTCATCTGTATTCGTACTCTATTGTACTAGCTGTATAATTATACATGTATAGTGTATTAATTTTATGACCTTCATGCTTTGACTTGTAGGTTGGACCCAGTCTTTTTGCCAGTAACATTGGCAGTGAGCACTTTGTTGGGTTGGCTGGGTCTGGGGCTGCTACTGGGATTGGTGTAGTATCCTATGAATGGCAGGTGAGCGGGAATAAATGAATTTTATGATTGTAAATCTATTAAATATTTGGGAACATAAGCATTAAGATTACAATGTTTGCCAGAAAATGTGTTCATTCAAGGCAATATTCAGCATCAGAGTGTAGATGACAATAAGCACTCGCCCTCATTCACGGCAACTTTTAAATAATCCTTGCAGACAAGTACTCAACAAAATTGTAGGTGTCTAGCTTGTTGTCATACATCCAAACTTCTTGTATGCAGAAAACATGGAACCAGAAAAAGCCTCCACTTGGGAGGGGTGTGCACTGGGGGGCGTGTTTAAAACAGGAAATGGCAAAATGATGAAATGTCACTACAGTTAGCGTATAGTAAGTAGTGCTGTGGTTAGCCTGAATAGAGCTCAGGTTTACCTGCCGGTTAGCCCAGATATCACTGACTTGAAGGTGGTTGGCTCTCAATAATTGTATGGGTTATAATTAACTGTATCCCACATATGTTAAGTGACATACCAGCAGGCATTAAAGGGCAGTTAGTAAGTATGTACAATGTAAGCACATGTGCAACTGTAAGTAGTAATCTTGCTGTTCATTGTTTGCAGGCCTGCTGGGTTCTGCTCCTTCTTGGATGGGTATTTCTGCCAATTTACTTGAGATCAAGGGTAAGTTAACTTCTAATTTAGAAATTCAAGGAATTTTTAATTTGTTGACTTTTCCTTTTCTAAACGAGATAATTTGATGTTTGTTTTATACTGGCCCGCAGGTGTTTACGATGCCTGAATTTTTGCAAAAAAGGTTCCAGAGCCAGTGGATCAGAACATACTTGACTGTTGTGGCTTTGTTTTCTTATGTGTTCACAAAGTTTTCGGTAGGCTTACATTTATTATGTAATGTAAAGTTCATTAATTCATTTATAAATTACAGTAATGTCAGACAAGTATAAATTTCTGTTTTCCTAAAAATTTTCACCTGACGTTTTGAGTGAGCTGTGTTACCCAGTGCCATGCAAATATGGAGTTACCATAGATTCTGAAATTTGTAATTCACCTCCAAGTTTGTTGTTTGTTACAAGTGTTGATTTCGGCGTGATTACTTCGGGGACATTCAGTGATCCCATCATATGTATCTTCTTAATACTCAATGTGGCTAACACGTTGTTTTGAAGACGGTCTCTATAAAATTGCAATTCTAGGTAAATCATGTTGTATATTAAATTAAATTGAATCGTGGTACATTTTCTCACCAGAGTGTTAAATGAATTGTACAAATATAGGTTGACATCTATGCTGGCAGTTTGTTTCTTTATGAAGCTGTTGGTTGGAACATGTACGTCTCTGCTGCCTGTGTCCTGGCCATCACAGCGGTCTACACCATCTTAGGTAAGCTTAAAATACAGCTTCCATATTAAACCATTATCAAGTTGCCAACCTCTTAGTAGTAAATAGTTTAGGATCACTGACAGTCTTTGAACTACTGATTTGCATTTGAGGAGGTAATTAAGTTGGTACATGTACAAACTTGTTTTGTGATGTGTGGAGAATTTTTGCTAAGTTTTCTTTGCAACAGACAATTACATGTAAGACCTCTTCAAGGTATTCATGCAAAGTCACAAGGCTAACTTTTGTAAACATAAAAGCTCAGTTCCAATTACTTTACATATAAAATTATAATTTTAAAATGCAAAAATGCTTTATATAAATTATAGTATGCTGTATCACATCCTTTTCACTTCGTTGGAAGTTCATGTATTAAGCTCTTGCAAAGTTCTGTTAAACAAGCAAATTGTACTGAAGGGGTTAAGACAGTACAATAGACCAATTTTCATATATTAAAATTCAGCCTAACACAATAGACCTCAGCACGAGGCTCTGAAGAATAAACCCCACAAACTCTGTAGTTATTCCCCAGAGCCTCATACTGAGGGCTATTGTTTCAGACTGAATTTTAGTACATCGAAATTGGTCTATTGATCATCATCATTATCAATTAATTATTAATTATTATTCTCATTTTTTCAGGTGGTTTGACTGCAGTTATCTTCACTGATGTCTTGCAATGTGTAATCATGATCCTTGGGGCAATCACACTGGCAATTCTAAGTATGTGGAATGGTATAGATGTTGTATATCACAAAATAAGAAAACAAAACCCCAAACAAACTGGTCTCTTGTTTCTTGCTCGTTAAATTCAAGAGCTATGCATACCTATATGTTTTCAGGTTTTATAGAAGTGGGCGGATACAATGGTCTGTGGGAGAAATACGGCCAATCCATGGGCAAGCCATATGTTCCTGTAAATGCAACCATGGACAATGGAACAGACCTGAGTTCGTGCTTCGCGTTGACTCCTTACTGGGATCACATGTTCCGACCGATCAATGATCCTGACTATCCCTGGTTGGGATTGTGGACTACCTTGCCGATTATGGGTATTTGGTATTGGTGCACAGATCAGGTATGTCTGTTGTGTAATTTTAGCATGTACATAATATTTTATTCAAAGGTAGCATTTAGTGACAGGAAAAGTGGCCTTGTATCCTATACCTGAATCAGGAGCGTTGTATTATTAACCTAAATGTAGGAGGGCTTTGAGTTTTGACGTCTGCCAATCATATCAGAAGATACAGTATCTGAGGATATTTGGGGATATTTCACAGATTTCCAAACTAAGGCATTTTGAATATTTTCTGGTCCCTGAGTCCCAGGAAGTGTTTCGTCAAATGTAATGTGGTCACCAGACTTTTCCCTTATAAGTCGCACAATTTGGGAGAAGTTTACACGCTCTCATTTAATTAACCATGCGGCCATGGGCCGAGCGCGGTTCATGGTTTACCCGTGGTATTTTTTTTTCGATTTGTAGGCGACCAGACCCAAGCTTCCACTCGGCCACATTTTGAGTCACGCAACCTATGATGTTTACGCGCCAAAAGCTGTTGAAACGTTAATAAATCTCATCTCCGATACTGACTTTCGCGGGAAAAAAATTAAAAACCCAGCGCTCGTCAAAAATTATATTTTTTCACCAGAAATTTAGCTCGGAACATATACATATTTATATTCCTTTGAATTGTCCATGAAATGACCTTTTCCGGATATTTTTTCTTTCGGGGTCAACAAAAACCTGCAATTACAAAATCACGCCGAACCCACACGTTGCAAAAAAATCTCTTCAAAACCCTGACTTCGAAGTGATATATCACTTTAGCGTTAATAGCTACCACA